TGAACATGTGTAGGTGATGGGTATTTCTGTGGCTTATTTTTTTCAGTGTGTTTGAAATATTTCATTAAAAAATAAAACAAGCCCTGGCCAGTTTGGCTCAGCAGTTAGAGCATCGGCCATCGAACCAGAGTCCTGGGTTCTGTTCCTGCTAAGGGCACATACCTCGGTTGCAGTTTGTCCCGGCCCCAGTTGGGGTTGTGTGAGTGGCGACCTCTCAATGTGTCCCTTTCACGTCGATGTTTCTCTCTCTTTCTCTTCCTCTCTTTCTCCCTCCCGCTCTATCTGAAGATAAATGCAAAAACAACAAAAAAATGTCCTCGGGTGAGGATAAAAAAAAACAAGTAATAACCCACACTATTTAGGAAGCAAGTCCACAGGAGGTGGTGGCTGATGGGAGGGGGCAGGTAGGTGAGCCGGGGGTCCTGAGACAGGCTGGCGTGCATCCAGGTGTCCTCGGATAAATGCTGTGTCTGTACTTTCTTGCTTCAAGTGCTTGCAAAGATCCTGAAGGAGGTATGAGGACAGTCCCACTTTACTGACAGTAAATGAAAGCTTGGGGTAAAGTGAACTGACCTGCAGAGGGAAGGAGGGGAGAAGGGGTGACCAGGGGAAAAGCCCCACGTGGAGAGAGTAGGAGCAGCAAGAGTGGAAGGAAAACCAGGAGAGCCTGGCTGCAAGAAGGGGGCCCAGCCTTCCAGGACCTGGCCCAGATCCCAGCTGAAGCCACAGCCCTCCTCTGGTGTCCAGACCACACAAGCAGCTTCTACTTGGTGGCTCCTCCAGAGGCCTGGCAGGCCAGAGGGTTCCTGGAGTGGAGTGTGGCTGGAGGTGAGGGAAGGTGAGGCCTGGGTTGGAAGGAGATGAGGGAAAAGCAAGCAGGGTAGGGGACTGACTGGGAGACCACTGGGGAGCCCCTCGCCCTGGGTGGTATGCTCAATGAAGCTGGCTCTAAGGGCACACTTTAGGGGAGCGGTCAGTGGGTCTGGGGCCCTCAGTTGACAGAGGATGAACAGTGTGTTGGGCATCAGTGAAAGAAAAGCCAAAGAGGTAGGGGGAGTGTTGGGCAGACCCAGCCTGTCCTCATTTTATAAGGGAGGAAACAGGTTCTAAGAGGTCACATGGGGAACGATACATGGTTCTTTGGACCTCCAGCCAGTGCAGCTTCCCCGGGCGCAGGGCTCTTAGCCCTGACACTTGCTGAGCCAGGATGCCAGGGAGTGCTTTTCTCAGCTCATGCTGGGCCACAGGACTTGGATTCAGGTGTACCTTCCCCTGCAGGGAGTTTCAGGTTTGAGCTCCAGGGCCTGAGCAGGTGGACACTGTAACTGTTGGAAGGTGGAGTTCTGTGTTTCATTCCTCTGTGCAGCCCCAAGTTCCTGCCTCTGTCACTTCATCTTTCTGGGCCTGGAAAGATGAATATTCATTGCTACTATTTAACAACACTGAGCGCTTAGTCTGTGCCTGGGACCACAGTCATTCCTTTAATCCTATGCTCATTCTACAAAGGAAGAAACCAAGGTCAGAGAGGTTAAGTAAGTTGCTCAAATTCACACAGCTGGTATGTGGTCGAGTCAGGACACGAGCCCAGGTCCCGAAGTGCGGTACTCGATGTTGCGGTGAGAACTGAGTGAGACGGTTTGTAAAGGGCCTCCCTCATCACGAGTCCAGAAGGTAGGCATGAGGCCCTAGCCGCCCCGTCTGGAGTGCAGCACTGGGACCACAGTACACACTGGGCTGCGCTGAGGGGAGCCAGTGGTCTGGCAATCCCAGACACAGCCCTGAGGAGACTGGTTGGAGGACAGAGGTGACTTCCAGCACAAGCCTCCTGAGGCAGAGCACGCCGTGTGCAAAGGCTCACAGGAAAGAACGCCCGGCGAGTCCTGGGGACCTTACTGAGCAGGGCAGTAGTAGGGATCCTAAATGCTTGCCCCTGGGGCCTCAGTTCCCCATCCAAAGCAAAGGACAGCTGTCCCCCGCCCGGCTCTGAAGCCCTGTCACTTGGATTCTACTGCCCCACTGTGGGCACGGGAGAACTGCACCAATGAGCACCTTAAAACCTAACTGGAGGACCCCAGCCCCAGCAATGCCCAGTAATGGCTCCAAGAACTAATTGTCAAATTTTAAGAATTTTTGCAAGTCAGTTGTTAAATTATGTAAAATTAAAACTATATTAAAAACAAAGGTAATGTTCAAAACTAAGCACTTGCTGTTTCACTGTATTTTGCTATTGTCTGTGCTCTATTTTTTTTTTCCTTTATTGATTTTAGAGAGAGAGGAACGAAGAGGGAGAGATAGAAACATCGATGAGAAAGAACATCGATTGGCCGCCTCCTGAATGCTCCCCACTGGGGATCTGGCCCACAACCAGGGCATGTGTCCCAACAGAGAATCGAACCAGTGACCTCTTGGTGCTTGGGTCGGCGCTCAACCACTGAGCCACACCAGCCAGACTTTTTATTTTTTTAATCTTCACAGAGGATATGTTTTTCATTGAAGAAGGGGAAGAGGGAGGGAGGGAGATGAAGGAGGAAGGGGAGAGGGGGGAGAGAAAGGGGGGGGAAGAGAGAGAGAGAGAGAACATCCATATGAGAGAGACATCAATCGGCTGCCTTCCATACATGCCCTGATGGGATCCAACCCATAAAACCTAGGTGCCCTGACCAGGAATTGAACAGGAACCTTTTGGTGTGCAGGATGACGCTCCAACTGAGCCACCTGGCTAGGGCTTGTCTGTGCTCTTTAACTGCATCTATTGTATCTGTACGGTAGAAACACTATATAAATAGTGTGCTTCCACACATCTCTTCACCACTCCATGTTTACACTGCATTAGTAGCTTGAAACCAGCCATGGAAGGGTGTATTTGCACCATGGAAATCGGCAAATACCACAAATCAGTCTTCATTTATTGTTGATTTTCTAGACCAGTGCCATCCAATAGATATATAATGCAAGCCACACATGTAATTTTAACTCTTGAGTAGCCAGATTTGAAACAGTAATAGGAAACAGGTGAAATGAACTTAAATAGCATATTTTATTTAACCCAGTATGTCCAAAATATAAACATGTAATCAATATAAACTAATGATATATTTTACATTGTTGTATCATACTAACTCTTCAAATTGTGTTTATTTTTAAAAATATGTTTTTGATTTCAGAGAGAGGAAAGGAGAGAGAAAATCAATGAAAGAGAAACATGGATGAGCTGCCACCTGTACGCCCCCTACTGGGGATCAAGCCAGCAACCTAGGCATGTGCCCTGAAGGGAAATCCAACCTGTGACCTCCTGGTACATGGGTTATATGACACTCAACCAACTGAATCACATGGGCTGGGCTGTGGTGTGTATTTTATAATTAACGGCACATCTCAGTTCAAACTAGCCATATCTCAAGTGCTCAACAGCCAACTGTCCAGTGGCTGCTGTATTAGACAACACAGGTATAGACTTAAACAGATGGAGCCCTGACCGGTATGGCTCAGATGGTTGGAGGCTCATCCTGTATACACCAAAAGGTAGTGGGGTTTGATTCCCAGTCAGGGAAAGTAACCAGGTTGTGGGTTGGATACCCAGCTGGGGAGTGTGCGGGAGGCAACCAATCAATGTTTCTCGCATCTGTGTTCCTCTCTCTCTTTCCTCCCTCTAAAAGCAATTTTTAAAAATGGAGAAAATATTGATGCACATTAAATTTAACTTATTCAGTGATGAGAAATCAGTAGGTCATATATTAGATTTAATGATGATAAACTGCTGCCCTGCCTGGTATGGCTCAGTTGGCTGGAGTGTTGTCCTGTGCTCCAAAATGTTGCAGGTTCAATTCTCAGTCAGGGAACATACCCAGGTTGTGGGTTTGATCCCCTGTTGGGGCATGTGCAGAAGGCAACCAATCAATGTTTCACTTTCATATCAATGTTTCTCCCTCTCTCTCCCATCTCCCTTTCTCTCTAAAATCAGTAAAAGCATGTCCTCAGGTGAGGGTTTAAAAAAAAAATACTGGCAGCCCAGCCTGTGCGGCTCAGTGGTTGAGCATCGACCCATGCACCAAGAGGTTGCCAGTTCGATTCCCAGTCAGGGCACATGCCGGCGGCGGTGGGGTGGGGGAGGTGCAGGCAGGAGGCAGCCCATCGATGTTCTCTTTCATCAATGTTTCTATCTCTCCCACTCTCTAAAATCAATAAAGAAAAAAAAAAACTGGTAAAAGAGCAGTGCAGTAGGCTTAACAATGGCCCCCAAAGACACCGGGTTTTAATCCCTGGAACTTGTAAATTTTATCTTGCAGATGTGATTAAAGATCTTTACATGCTAGCCCTGGCTGGTTTGGCTCAGCCGTTATAGCGTCGGCCCAAGGACCAATGAGTCAAGGGTTCAATTCCCATCAAGGGCATGTACCTCAGTTGCAGTTTGTCACCAGCCCTGGTTGGGGTTGTGTGGGAGGCAACCAGTCGATGTGTCCCTCTCACATCAATGTTTCTCTCTCCCTTCCTCTCCCTCTCCCCCCCTCCCACTCTCTCTGAAGAACAGAAAAATATCCTCAGGTGAAGATTAAAAAAAAAAAGATCTTTACATGGGAGATTGTTTTTGATTGCCCAGCTGGGCCCTAAATCCAATCACACAAGTGTCCTAATGAGGGGGAAAGGGAGATTTGGTAAACAGAAGAGAAGAACCTGTGGCCACAAGTCCAGGAATGTCAGTAGCCACCAGAAGCTGTCACAGGTAAGGATTTGAGCCTCCAAAGGAGCATGGCCCTGCTATCACCCCAGTAATAGCGATTTTGGATTTCTAACCATAGGAACTGTGAGAAAATAATTTCTGTTGTTTAAGTTTGTGGTAATTTGTTACAGCGGCCACAGCAAACAAATACAAGCAGATGGGATGCAACTCTATTTGCCATTATGGTTAAATTAGCACCACAAGTAGGCTACGAATACAAGAATTCGGCAAAAAAAAAAAAAAAAAAATCAACAAAAGCATTCTGTGAGAAACCACTGGCTGTACAGAATTTATAATAAAGAGTACTGTATATTTTATTTGTACTTTATGTGCTATACATCTTTTATATCAGTACAATTTATAATAACATGTGTGTATATGACATATACCAGGTCTGTCTTGTATCCTCAGCACCCAGCAGAGCTTGGCGCACAACAGGACACAAACAGTTTTTGAATGAATGAACGTAACTTTGGACCTGTTTCCCCCACAACAGGGTTGGAGGAATGGGATAGGCTCCCCAAGTGGGCAGTAGTGGTGCCAGATGTTGTTAGAGCACCTACTGTGTACAAGCCTGGGCTGGGGGCAGAGACTGATGGGACACAATAGCTGGCTGGAAACAGTGAAATTCAGGAGTCAGGTATGAGAACTCCCATTTCCTTAAGGCCTCTGCAGGCTTGAAGACTGCTCAAAGGGTTAGTCCAAGAGATGGGGTGCCAAGGAGCCACTGTACAGATGCAGAGACCGAAGTCAAGGACACAGCAGGACCTGCTAGGACTGGACCTCCCTTTCTCTCACCTCTCCTGTCCCTCAAACCTGCAGGGCAAAGGGCCTCTTTCACCAGGGACTAGGAAAAACCAGGGTCTGGCTTGGTTGCAGCTACAGAAGAGAGCCCTTCTGTTCCCTAGCTTTCCATGTGAGCTCTCATCCATGCTTCCAGTCAGGGGCCCAGGCTAGAAGGGGGGTGCCCACCTCTTCCATGTACAGCCTGGATGATCTTTGGCAAGTTACGTTCCCTCTCAGCTCCAATGTCACCCTGGGGCGTCCAGGGCCCAATCTGCAGGCTAGTGGCTGATCCCTGCAGGCCAAACTGGCCAGATCCCTCACCAATCTGCAGGCCTGAGCCCTGGCCAGACACTTGTTCCATCTGGACTCTCTGTTAAATGGGCAGTTAAGTAGCTTGCTGGGTTTCCACAGCAAGAATTTGGCCAAGCAGACTGGCTCTGGACACTGAAGCAAATGAGGGAGACTCTAAGCCAAAGCCCTTGACCAGGACCTGGGAGCCAGGTCTGGGATCTGGAGGTACTGAAACTCTCTGGGCCCCAATCTCACTCCATCCCAAAATGTCTATCTCATGTATGTGTCCATATGCCACCATTCTACTGTATGCATTTTGAAAGCAAGGGCCAGGATAGTTTTGCTTACTATTGGGCCACAGTGTGGGCTTGGCCAGAACTCAGTCTGTTTAATGAGCAAAACCACTTGCATGTCGTCTACAAAGACCATGCTCTCCCGCACTGCCTTTGCTCGTGCTGCCCCTCCTTCATCAGCACACAGCCTCTCTGATCACCCCTAGGAAGAGGGGCTGCCAGAACTCAGCAGGGTTCAATCTTGGCTCCTGTGGATCCACAGTGCCCTGGGCATCTGGTTTATGAAATCCATCCTCCTGGGAGTGGGAGAAAAAGCAGAAGGCAAGTCCTCCTCCAGCCCTCGGCCCTGTCAGCGACTGGTTGTCTCCTCTGGAGCCCTGGTGGGCAATGAACTCTGCCCACCACCAACCCCCTGTTCAGAGTTTAAAGAGAAAATAAAGGGATTAAGGAAGCACCAAAGGCAAGCCCTCTTTTATGATAGCATCAGACAACTGTTTCAAAATATATTAGATTTGGTTTTTATTGTAGAGCACACGTATCAGGGCAAAGTGCTGCACACACAACTACAAATCATTTTGGGGGGAAAAAGCTGTAAAAAAAAAAAAAAAATGCAACTGCCTTAGTTCTGCAGTTCCAACTTGAGGAATTCACACTGGCAAAGGAGTTCTGGCTCCTGAAAGGGGCTTCTTGATGGTGGCTGCCCCGGATTTCTGCAGCCCCAGGCCTAGGACTCTGTAAAACAAGGTCCCCCTGTGGTGGTGGCAACCTGGGCACTGGGAGGGCCTCTGCTCTCAGTAGGCCTGGTCTTGGCCCTGGCTGGCAAGGAGACATTTCTAATGACTCTAGACCAGCAAAACCTTATAGCCCTCCAGAATCTGAGGAGGTGGAAACTGCCAACGGCCACTTGTTTTCCTTTTATCACTATTTTTTAAAAGCCCCTTCCCCAGATCCCGTGCCCCCAAAGTGGAAGAGGCACCAACCCCGTCTGCAGGCCTTGAGCTCTGGCCTTGGATGCATGCTACAGGCAGACAGAGGGGCAGGCACCTTTCTATGGGGATGACTTGGGGAAAAGGCCCAAACTGGCCAATGTAGAAGAAAGAAAAGGTAAAGGAAAAAGACGAGACCAAAGGGAAAAATAAAAACTCAAAACAAAAACCCTACTACACACCACAATTTTCCATACCCCAAATGCTAGACTTTGAAGGACACCAGTCCCTTTAGCTAGAAACAATTCCTAAAATTGCCCCAACATGGCCAGTCTAACTGTTCCATACAATCACACGCATATGCCTGAAAGGAGCAACCCAGCAAAGAGGCGTGCTCTCGGCAAGAAGTCAGGAGTGCTGCAGCCAGCCCCTCTGCAGCCAGGGACCTGTGGGCGAAGCATGCCAGTGGGTGTGGAGGAAGCCCAGGGCTCAGCCAATAGCTCTGGGGTGCAGGGGCTGGCACTGTTAAGGCCCTGCCCAGTCATCCTGAATGACTCTGCAGCAAGAAAAAGAGGGTATTTGTGTGAGTTTCTGGAGCCTAGAGAGAAGGTGACAGGTGGAAGGACAGCAGGACCCTTGTGGAGCCAGCAAGGCCCAGGAGACCTTAACCAGGTTAAACATGGGGGTGCTGGGGGGACTGAACTTCATTTACAACACTGAGAAAATTTACATTTAAAGCAAAACAAGAATTTTCTTAACCAAAAACATTTTGTTGCTTTTAAATAAAACCAGCCGGACAGCCCCACCTGCCGACGGCTGCCCACATGCCCTACTGGCCCCTCCGGCGTGAGCTGTCAGCCTTCCATCCAGGAGGAAAACCAAGAACAATTCTGTTCTTCAGCCTTAACAGGCAACAAGCCAAGGAAAAATGAAAGAGTCAAAAAATAAACACAAAAACAGAAACAAAACCCCTCAAAACGAAACAAAAATGGGGTGGCTACGTGAGGATTAACCAGAGTTCCCGAGGATGCGGTGGGCCTCAGTGCCTCCGCATCTTCACCTTTCGGGTGGGACTGCCTGCGGCCTCTGAGCAGTCCTCCCCGGACTCGTAGGACTTGCGCCAGTAGTTCTCTGAGCTGAAGCTCCCCCTTCGCCGGTGTGTGGGCAGCAGCACTGAGCGCCGGTTCTCTTCTTTGTCCATCTCCAGGATCCTAGGCCTACCAGGGGCCAGGGTGGAAGGAGGCAGGAGGGGTTACCTAAGAGGCTGGCACAGGGGCAGAGCTTCCCACTCCACACCGGGCTCTGACCCTCATTTGCAGGATGACTCGTCACTGTTCTCCACAAGGGGTATATTGGCAGAAGCGGTGGCACTGTCATCTCTGCCCACTAAAGTGCTAGTGGCCACTGCTAGTTTGTGAGACAATTCCAAAGTACTTTGTGGGGTCTGCCTGGCTCTGAGTCTGATGCCCCAGGACAGTGCCAAGGCTGCTGGATGGAAAGAGGCCTTCCCTATCACAGCCCAACACCCTGCACATGTCCCTCTATTTTTCAATCCCCCACCTACTCCCACTTTCCATCTCTACCCACCTTCTCTCTGCTCACCAACCCCACTACTCCCAGAAACCACCAAGCTCTTCCTGCCTCAGTGTTTCAGCCCATAGAGTACCTCCTTCCTAGACTGCCCTTCCCACAGGTCTTCCTCATCCTTCTGCTCTTAGCTTAAACAGTACTTCCTCAGAAACCTTCCCCAATCCTTCTGAAGCAGGTCTCTGGTCTGCTATCTTCCAAGTCTCAAGTTTCCCTCCTCACATTTAAGTATAACCTGGAAGAGTTTGTGTCTGGGTGAACTGAAAAAAGGAAACCATGGGCAGGCCATCTCCACTTATCAGAGTTTCGGCCCAACCCCTTCCCTCTGAGGCAATCAGTTTGGGGTTAAGCATGAATGTCACCAATGCCACCAACCCAGAGGAACTAAACATGAAGCTTGCGAAAGGTGGGCAATGCCAGGCTCCTAACACCTATCCCAGGCTTCCCTACCCACTCACCCTGAAGCTAGCCCATGGGGCTGCTTTGCTAGCCTTTGTTGAGGGTCCTATGCCAAGTACCTGTGAGCAGCATCAGGGTCTGCCTTGCGGTGGGACCGCTTGGGTTTCAGAGCAGGGTCCCTATTATTTCCCGACAGGCGATCTGAACCATAGCTGGGTGGTAACACAGAGCTGCTCAGGGACTTTGTCTCCAACCGGGGCGCATCTAATCTAGTCCTGCAAAAGAAACAGGCATGGGATCAGCAGTGGACCTCTGGTGGGGTGCGGATCCTACCCGACCAATTCTCTCTCCAGGCAAGCTGAGTGGGGAGGCCAGAAGCTCTGCTCTGTGCCTCAGTCTCTTGTGCTTCAACTAGGGATTGGTCTGGCTGACTTCCAAGATACTTTTGGGGGGGGGGGTATTTTGTTCAGATAGAGTGGGAGGAAGAGAGAGAGAGAGAGACATCGACATGAAAGGGACACATTGAGTGGCTGCCACCCACATGACCCAACCAGCGCGGGGGACAAACTGCAACCGAGGTACGTGCCCTTAGCAAGAACTGAACCCGGGTCTCTCCGGACAGCAGGCTGACGCTCCAACTGCTGAGCCAAACTGGCCAGGGTGATACTTCTTTTTTTTTTTAAAGCAATTGTGCTCTTTCTTATTTTTTTGGTATGTTTTCATTGATTCTTTTATTTTAGAGCAAAAGGGAGAGCTAGAAACAGCAATGTGAGAAATATCCATCAGCTGCCTCCTGCACACCCCCTACTGAAGATTGAGGCGTGTGCCCTGACCAGGAATAAAACTGGGACCTCAGTCCATGGGACGATGCTCAATACACTGAGCCACACAGGCCAGGCCAAAGACACTTCTTAAGTTCCGGTTTAGGAACAAGGACCAAGAATACTTCTGTATGGAGACTTCCATGATAGGACTCTCCTGCACTCAAGGAAAGATCCCGGGGCACACTCTTTCAGTTGGGCGAGGCAGCTAGTTCTCCAGGACATTTCCACCTGCCAAAGGACTGAGGGCCCTAGTGGGCACCAGCATACTCCAACAGAAAACTTCATCCATACCTGAATTACCGAGACAGGAACGTTCTGGCCCAGGCCTATGGAAGGGCTGAAGGAGAACAGGGCAAGAGTTTCCCCCACTCTCCACACAGGAACACTGAGGCTGTGGCAGAGCGAAGAGAGCCCAGGCCCAACTCCACATTCACTAACTTGGCTCTCATCCCACCACAGCCACCTGGCAGCTTCTGTCTGTTCCAGGATACTGACCAGGCCAAGGGTTCTTGAAGGCAAAGTCCCCACCTAGCCTGGCCCGTGTGGCTCACTAGGTGAGCATCCACCCTGTACCAAGAGGTTGCAGGCCAGATCCCCAGTGGTGGGCGTGCAGGGGGAGGCCAGTCAATGTTCTCCCTCATCGATGTTTCTATCTCTCTCTCCCTCTCCCTTCTTCTCTCTCTAAAATCAATAAAGAAAAAAACATTTTTGAAAAAAGTCCCCACCTAGCACTGGGTGTGAGTTTCAAGGAATACACTGCCTAGTAAAGGAAGAACATGCACGTAGGATCAAGGAGAGGAGTTGGAGAAGCTGACAGGGAGGTATCCAGGGCAGTGATCTGAAGCCAGGTCAAGGAAACCTCAGGGCTCCGTGCACGGTACAGAGAAGGCTGGCAAGGCGAGCTGGAACATCGAGAGGCAGCAGAGAGGCCTGGGAGGGGAATGCTGGGTGCACAGCTGGTGGAAGGCCACGAAGGCACCCTTCTCATAGGCAGCTTGGCACAGTAGTAATTGGGTTCTGAGGAAAAAGGTGCTGTGATCAGGGCAAGACTCAAAGGGCACCCTCACAAAAAATGTGAGGTGAAGGGGGCTGGGATCAGAGGCTACCTTAACCTAGGCTGCCTGGCATTCTTGGTAACAACTGCATACAGTCCTCACAGCTCCCCCTATCCCTACCGGCTGGACTGCTCTAAACAGATGGGGAAAAATGGATCAAAAAAGTAGTAAGTCATGTGTCCTGGAAGTCTTGGGAGAAAAGTTTAATCCTAGCTGAGACTCCAACCCAAACAGGCAGTAAGGAGTCACAGGGCTCTGAACCTGGGCCAGGGTCTTCTCCTGAGACCAGCAGGGGGCGCCTTCTAGCTGAGAATACACGTTCTGATGCTCTCCGACTCAAACTAGTGGTCAGGCAGGCAGCACAACTGGTTCCTGCCCCTTTGCTTTGGCCTTACAGAGGCGGAGGCCAGAGGGGCCCAGCTCCTCTGGTCTAGTCTCCACTCTGGGCACTCCAGGCTCAGGGAAGCAGGACCTGATAGCAAGAGAAGATCCAGCTCTAGTCACCATCCCTCTCTGGGCCTGTTTCCCCATCTGAGCAGAGGAGGAAGAAATGTAACCGGCTCTAAGGCCTCTTTTAGTTCTGAGGGTCTAGAAACCGAAGACAAGTCACCCCTCCCTCAAGGCTAGGATTTGTTAAAGGAGCACCAGGAAGAGGTGGTGCTGGGCAACACCCAGACATGAAGGTGGGAATTAGAATCACCGGAGTCCCAAAGCCCTCTTCTTTACCAGGCCAGACCTCATATCCCTGTGCTGAGAAGTCCAGGTAGAAGACATCAGACCAAATGACAGACATTAGTCATTAAACTTGACCTTGAGGACTCCAAAGGTCTGAAGCCTCGTGAAGGAACGTCCACTTCTGGCAGCACAAAACTAAGATCCCACAGGTGCCAGGGACCATACATTCAGGGCAGAAAAGCCCCTATATGCAAAAAGCCCCTGGGAGGCAGGGCCTAGCACCCTGGAGTTGGTTTTTTGGGTTAGGGACAGATGGCAAAAGAACAGCCGAGCCTCCAAGAGGGGAGCCCAAACTACATACCTCAGAGGCTGGAAAACACAAACACATCCTGCCACGCAGGCAGAGCTGGCACAGGCTAAGCCCTGGTTTGGCCCCGCCCTTCTTAAGCTGCTTACTATCTGAGCAGCCTGCCTAGGGCAGACAGGGCACAGTGGTGGTGGCCTCACTATGGTCCTAGGACTGCTGGAGAAGCTGGGGAGAAAGGGATGACCAGTTGAGACTAGACAGACAGCCCAGGGACATGGACTGGCTCTGCTGTTCTCTAGCTCCCCAAATAAGGGAAGGGTTCTGTTTTCCACACAAGACAGCTCTGTTGTTACCACGGGGCAGACCCAGAAGAGGAATCATCAGAGGTGGCCCTACCAAAAGTCCAGACTCCTGTACCCACTTTGGGGACAGTATAAGCTCTGGGGCCCCAAAGAGCTGACACATCCCCTTGGGGCTGTTACAAGCACATCTCAGAAAAGTTGGAGAAGCTCCTGTCCTCCCTCCACTATCAAAAAGCCACAAAGCTGCAGGAACCCAGGCTAGAGTCAGACCCCAAGCCCAGAGTCCACCAGCAGCTTAACTTCAGAGCACACCCCTCTTAAAAGGCAGCCAAATCCCAGGGAGCAGGCCAGGTCCTCAAGGTTCAATGTACAAAGCCACAAACTTGGAGTAAGGAAGCCCAGTTCTAGCAGTAAGTCTGGGCCTCCTCAGGTGGCAATAGGAGTGAAGACTGCATTAGAGATCTGAGCCAGCATTCACAGGTCACAGCAAGGCACCACAGGCACAGGGGGTAAGGGTTAACCAGGGGGCCTACCACATCCAGAAAAGTCACACAGCCCCCAGGACAAAGCAGGCACTGGGCCTTGGTACAGGGGAAAGCAGAGCAAAGGAAGGATGATGGCACTGATGCAGCACATTAATTACCACATGACCTGAGGGGATGGGAGGAAGCAGACTCTGTCCCAGATGCTCCCCTCACTTTCCTTTATTGCTGAAGGAATCCTCCAGAGAAGCTGCTGGGGAAGATTATACCCACTGTGGGGGTGGGAAGCAATGCTAAATTGGAGACCAAGTCACTTGCCTAAGTCACATAGCTACAACCCGACGATGGCCTCTGAAGCCCAGGTGGGCTGGCTTCACAGCAGCAGAACAGAGCAGCAAGACAGAGCACCATTTCTGGGAGATGGTGAGCCAGTCTGCACTTCTGGCCCCGCTGCCAACCACTCCCCCAACTTCTGGCTCCACCCTCACCAAGCACCCTTGTGCTATAAAGCCTAGCTTTCCCAAGGGAGGCAGGAAGCAATGTGGTGAGCATATCTGAGTACCCCTTCTCTACAGCACTCAGGGCCCCTAGGCCTAAGCTCCAGCACCTGAGTATCAGACCCACCAAGCCCAGATCTGCACCACTCTCTCTGACAACAGCATCCACCCTCTCTCCAGGCACACACCCTCCTCCACTAACCTCCCTCAAACATCACCGTCCTCTCCAATTCCCACTGTGCTCCCCCAACAAGGCAGTTTTGAGAGAGTTGTAGTCAGAAAAGCCTAAAAAGTACACGAGGGATATTATCTGAAGAAAGGGCACCCCAAGCACATAGTCCTGGGCTTCCAGTAGACCTCCCCCCAAAACACAGCCTGAAAAATACCCAAGTCCCAAAGGAAACCCTTCCAAATCATTCAGTCTGGTTACAAGTGCCCAGGGATGCCCCTAGTTCAGGCCTGGTAAAGTCTAGATATTGTCCTCCAGGAAGGAACTAGGAGGCCAGGCACCAAGCTTGCTTTCCCTCACCTGGACCACTGAACATTGTGCCTCCTGGTGCCCCTTTCCTAACCGCTCCACGAGCCTCTGCTCAAGCTGTGTGTCGACTGGGCACAGCCTTCCTCAGCCCCTACCCTGACCCAGCAAGATCAGAGGGGAGGTATGGTAAGGAAGGGGCTAGAAGCACACAGAGTTTGTATTGTAACTGACTTGTATTCAGTGAGGAAGGGGCAGAGCCAGGCCAGGAACCCAAGCCAGTCACAGCCCCTGGTTCTCACTGCCTCCTTATTCCTTGGACAGGTTATGAATACAACAGGCTGGTCAGGCTGCTAAATGGGTAGCGTGTACGCGTGTGGAGACACACTTACTGGACCAGGGAAGAAGGGTGGGCTAACCCTTGGCACGGAGACATGAATCAGAGGCCTCGAAGGGGATGATGTCTCAGGCCTGGCGAGGCTTAGGGAAACCAGCAGCTGTCTACTCATCCTCACTCCTGAGGGACAAAGTTGAGTTTATCTTCTATGCTCACCTCAGCTAATCTACACACACCGCTTCACACTACCTCTCTCAGGGAGGGTCTCCCCCTGACCCCTGGGACCCCTTGGCCTGAATGACCAAATAAGCCATTTAGCTC